AAACAAGGAATAACCAACATAAGGGACCTCTACACCAATCAATCCTTATACCCCTTCCAAACTCTCCAATCCAAATATAATATTCCTACTGCTGAAAATTTTACATACATCAGAATCCCTCATTGTCTACAAACAACTAACTTACCCCACAATACTATAATACCAACTACAGCCTACATCTTCTTCACCAAACCCCAATACCAGGGTAAAGGTATATCCACTTTCTATACACATCCCATAAACTCACAATTTACTCTACAAACAACCTCCCTAACCAATTGGGAAAAAATCCTATCAGCCCAAATAACTTTAAAATGCTGGGAAAATACCTTCAGCATCACTTATAAAGCTACCCGATGTAGCTCCCACTAGGAGTTATACTTAAAAATACTCCACCAATGGTACCTGACCCCAGTAAACTTTCCATCTACTACCCGAAACAGTCCCTACATGCTGGAGACTCTGTGGTGAGCCAGGCTCAACAATCCACATTTTGTGGTCATGCAAATCACTTAGTTCTTTCTGGAATACTACATTCCAATTAATCTCTGAAATAAACAAAATTCTGTTAGTCTCGAACCCCTCATTAGCACTCCTACACATCAGAATAGAGAAACTCTCTACCCATTCCCGAACAATTATTACCCACATACTCTATGCCGCCAAAATTAATATTACTAGATTATGGAACACAAATAATACCCCCTCAAGCACTTCATTAATTACAGACCTTAGCACTCAATGTCAAATGGAAAAACTATCCACAATTAACACTTCCTCCTATCACAAATTCAATATCCAGTGGACCCGATTGCTAAACCACCCAAAATGTTATGTACAACCCTGATGAAATCTCAAGAGATGAATTCACACTCCACACCAAGACTGGCATCTCCTCAATTCCCCAGTTATATTCCTCCCTCCCCAATCCTATCCTCCCCCACCTCTTCACTAACACCCCCCCCCCCAAACTCCCCAAACTCCTCACCAAGGCTCTTCAAATGCACACGAATACCTCTGATGATATTGCTAAACAAAACCTCATCTGTCCAGAGTGCGGATCTACAACAAAATGATCACCCATATTTTGTCTACTGTAATGTTGTATGATTGAACCTTATCTCTTTTCCCTGTTTTTCGCTGTTTATCTTTGAAAAACTCAAAAAATATTGAAACATAAAATCTTTGTACATATATTAAACCCCTATAATCTCTCTGACAGGGTCATTAAACATAATCCTCCATGTGGGATCTATCACATAGAAAGGTCCAAATGCATTTGGATCATTCCAATCCAAGATCTTTTTCAGGGGGAAAGAAAACGGGGGGAGATCTCCAAATAGATACAGAATAGACTAATATAATGACACACACAATGGATAAATAACATTTTGTTTCAGCCAATAACAACAATGTACTCCCCACTCTTGCACGTACAAAGCAACAGCTAGAGAAACACTCTCCCATCAAAAAGTAAGAAAAGAAAAAAGCCAGAACCATAAGCGGAAAGAGACAGGTAAAGTTCCCCCCCCATATAGTCTATGCTCAGACTAGACACTTTTAATAAACCAGAACCTTTCAATAACTAGAAGCTTTCAATAATCTAGGGATCTCCACCACAGACAGCCAAGATGGAACTGATGGAGGTACAACCCACACCACCAATTGAAGATGTTGCCACCTTAGCAGCGATAGGATGCATTAATGGTGACCAGCAACTTGTGATCACACCGGCATCTGTGAGGGATAAGAGTTTCCCTTGGCATCTGCCGGAGTCCTCGTTGCAAATGTGTGGTGGCATGATGTGATGCAGGCTCTTGCCATCAGTGCATGCAAGTCCATCATGGGCTCATGCGCAATAACCACCTCACAGTCCAAGGATGCCACTGACATGGGAGGTTGCCCCCTGAAGGCACCAAGCCACAAGGCATTTTCCTTGTGCTTGATGGCCAGGGAGCACACAAGGGTAGAGACAGAGAGCAGCAAAAAGCACCCACCACCTCCACCCCTTCCCATGCAGGGTGACCACCAGAGTACTTACCCATTCAACTCATCATCCAGATCCATGGTGGAGGTTATCTAGAGATACTGTAGATAGTGCAGCTCAACCCCCTTTTGTCCTACAGAACCTGCTTTCTCCCCACTACTTTGAACCTCTACCTCTCTGTTTAGGCCTGCGTGACATTTTTAATAAGAGGATTGACTAAATTTAAAAAGATAAAAATAGTAGGCTATGGCAATAGGATTAAATATGTGGTGGTTAGGTGCACAATAGAGGTAAAATGTTGGTTCGGTCTGCACCTCAGTTCAGACTTTGGATGTTCAGATTAGTCCACATTTTGTGGATTTTTGGCAGGAATTGCTCTGTTGAATGTCATGTAAAGCATTGCAAACAACTGTCATGAGCTAAAGTCTTGCACGTGACATCTGGTCACTTCCACAGCTCTTCTCCATATCTGGCTAATGTTCTCCCTTCAAGCACCATAGGTTGCGTGTGGGCTTTTTTTTGTTGTTGTTTCTTTTGTTCTTAATATCTTGCTAATGTCTTTTATATCTTTTTTGGCTTGGATCTTAGAAGAAGGGGATATACTATGACCAGACTGCCCTGAAAATGTAACTGTTAGTGCAAATACAAATGTATCAACAACAATATTCATTTGTGTTATTTTAATTTGTTCTTCCAACTATGAACTACAGTGATTATGGCTCATCATTCTCTATAATTTGCCATTTTTAAAAAAGCAGAAGAATAAAGTTTCTGGTACAAATAATGTTTACATGCTACAAAATTGAATAATTGCAAATCAAAAATGTTTGCATACATATGGTAAAAAAAAAAGAAGGAATGCTATATGAACTAGGGAGTTAGGGCCATTAAAGGTTTGATAAGGTGTGTAACATTTTATAAAAAAGATATAAATAACATTTTACATATAACTGGAAAATAGTTGCACCTAATAGTAATTTACAACAGTAAACAGTAGCATTCATAAATTAATGAAGAGCAGAACTGGGCTATCACAATTACATCCTATTCTTGCAGATTACACTGTGAGAGTAGTTCTCCTGGTGTGTCAGTGGAGCTCTGTTGCCACTTTGATAGATGGTCCACTGTCAGCTCTATGAGACGTTAGAGTGGTCAGTTTTGAGACTACTATTGCCCAAGAGCATTATTTTCATGCTCCAGTCCACTTATGATCTACAGAGATCTTGTGCTGGACCAAACACCTATCTTCTTTTGCCTGACTTGAAGGAGACTAAAGCGTTAGTTATTCGATGAATTCTGGTGGGAAAATGTCAATCATATAAGTCACTGTTTTTTAGAACTTCATTTAATTTTCATATAGTTACATTGTTATAATTACTAATGATTGAATCAGCAGAATCACTTACAGTATATTATCAACGTTTGTCTGAATATTTTGGTCAGTGCACAATGTTACTATTCAGTAATTCAACCTTAACCTCCCTGGCATATTCCCGAGTGTAGCTCGGGGTAAAGTTTCAGTACCAAAAGCGGTAACCCAAGCTACACTCGGGCTTACCATGCGGCGTTGCACAGGGATTCCCTACAGCGCTTACCTTGTCCTTCGCTCCCGCGATGTGTCCCCTGCAGCTTCCCCGGCCATCTCCTCCTGCCGATGCCAGCATCTGGCTTCCGTGTTCCGGTCCCTGTGACGTCGGGACGTACGGGCGTCGGAACCAGTGGCAAATTTGAAAATTTAAAAAAAATGACATTTTTTTTAAAACGATTATTTCATAGCAAAACATTCCTGTATCAAAGCATTTCACATACATTTTGTCCCTACTGCTTTGTCCTGTGCCCTGCCTACATTTTGACTGTTCTTTCTGCCTGGAAATTTAGAAAAGTCCACGGCGTCCAAAAAGCGTCCCTTTAGGTCAAAATCGGTTTTTAGACCGGCTAGAGAACAGTGATAGTAAATCAGAACTACTTGCAGAATTGAGTGATAATGATTCATGGGGGAAATTTGTCATCAGACACTGAAAACAATTTTGCAACTTTGCTCAATGATGTGCGAACTTGGCGCTATATTTCAAATTTCAGTGTTTTTGGTTTGATTATATTATTGAATTAAATTTATTATTATTATATTATTATTTTTTATGAGTATTTATTAAGTAATTACTAAGAATTGCAGGCCTACAATACATAACACCAAATTTCTATGCAAAAAAAATGGTACCGCTTTTGTTACAAAATTCCTGACATTATCATACCGCCAGGGAGGTTAATGTGTTTTCTGGATTGTTTGACTTTGCAGATAAATCTGATCTATGAATCGGTAAATATAATAAAAAGTAAAAATTTACCAAAATGTAATAGATTTCAGCAGCTTTGGAAGTCTATCTTAACCACTTACCCTACAGAGGATTCCCTCCCCTTCTTGACCAGGCCATTTTTTGTGATAATGTACTGCGTTGCTTTAACTGACAATTGCGTGGTCCTGAAACTCTGCACATACTGTATTTTTCGCTCCATAAGGCGCAAATGGGGGAAATGGGGGGAAATGTCTGTGCGTCTTATGGAACAAATATGGAGAGGCCGGACCGGTATTCCTGCAGCCACCGTGTTAGAATACCAGGCCGACCTCTTGGCTCTGGTGTACAGAACCTGCTCCCCAGTCCTATCTGTTCCTCGGTCCAGTGGTCTCCTGCTTTCACTGGCCGTCTTCTCTCCCCGGCTCCGGCATCTTCAATGTGGGCTCCCGGATGTGACAGCTTACGGTTTCACAGCTGGGTGCCCACTGCACATGCGCGAGAAGCACTGCGCTTTGTGAATGGCCACCTGTAGGCTTCTGGGACCTGTGACATGTACCACAAGAATATGGGGAGGGAGGGGGGAGGACAACTCCGTTGAAGTGGGAGTGGGTACCTGTCAAATTCGGGTACCTGCCTCCCCCCACTCCCCAAAGGTTCACAGCCTCTGGTCATCTCCTGTACTATGTTTGCAGTCTCTGATCATCTCCTGTACTATGTCTGCAGTCTCTGGTCATCTCCTGTACTATGTCCGCAGTCTCTGGTCATCTTCTGTACTATGTCTGCAGTCTCTGGTCATCTCCTGTACTGTGTCCACAGTCTCTGGTCATCTCCTGTACTGTGTCTGCAGTCTCCGGTCATCTCCTGTACAATGTCCGCAGTCTCTGGTCATCTCCTGTACAATGTCCGCAGTCTCTGGTCATCTCCTGTACTATGTCTGCAGTCTCTGGTCATCTCCTGTACTATGTCCGCAGTCTCTGGTCATCTCCTGTACTATGTCTGCAGTCCATTGGTTCAGAATATTTTTTTTCTCGTTTTCCTCCTCTAAAATCTAGGTGCATCTTATGGTCAGGTGCCTCTTATGGAGCGAAAAATACGGTAAATTACATTTAAGTAATTTTTTTCACAAATAGAGCTTTCTTTTGGTGGTATTTGATTGCCTCTGCATTTTTTTTTTTTGCGCTGTAAACAATACAATTCTGAAAAAATATATATATTTTTGACTTTTTGCTTAAGAGCTTATCAATAAAAAAAGTTTAAAAAATAAAATGACTTCATAAATTTAGGCCAAAATGTATTCTGCTTCATGTCTTTGCTAAAAGAAATCCCAATCATTGCATATTATTTGGTTTATTTGAAAGTTATAGCATCTACAAATGGCAGTATATACACTGGATTTTTTATTTTTTTATACTAGTAATGGCGGCAATCAGTGACTTATAGCAGGACTGTGATGGGCATTCTGACACTGGGTGGGAACTGACTAACTGCAAATGACATCCCCAGTGACACTAATACAGTGATCAGTGCTAATAAAAAGCACTGACACTGTACTAATGACACTGGGAAGGAAGGGGTTAACATCTGGGGAGATCAAAGGGTTAACTGTGTGCTGTGTGTGCTTTACATTAAGTGCTGTATTTTTTTTTACTTGCAAAACATGCTGCTTTGTAATTCTCTGCTATGCAGCATGTCCATGCTGACAGAAGAGAGTCATGTTTTTTACACACAGGTCTCTCCCCTATCACCTTTGCTGATGATCACCAAGTGTCGGTCGGGAATCTCTGGCTGGGACCCGGTGATTGACATCACAGCTGTGCCGCCCTGTAGCAGTACTCCTGCTATAGGGTGGATGGCAAGCGGTTAGGGCAACACATTACCTGAAGTGGACCAGTAGGACTGGAAGAAAGGCATAAGCAGTTGAAAAAAGCAAAAAAAAAATCAAACCTAACAGTTCAAACATTTGTCTTTCTGCAAATATTGTGACACAGGCAGGGGTGGACTGACAACTCATGGGACCCCCGGGCATTAGGGGATCATGGGGCCCATTTGTCCTTGCCCAAACTCAAAAAAGCCTATGAAAAAGGTACCAGGGGCATCTCATGGGGCCCCCTACTGACCCCGGACCCTCGGGCAGTGCCCCAGTTTCCAAATGGTCAGTCCGCCCCTGGACACAGATATTTATTTTGTCATGAATAAAAAATTTTTAATGTAATGAGAGCACACAACTGGTCAACTGTTATTACCTCAAGGAATCTCAGTAATTAACAATAATAAAATATCAACGTTCTTCTTTTAAATGTTAAAAGATATTGAATTCACTTAGCTGAAGCACTTGAATCATTTAGGAAAAATTACACACATGCATGGAACATTTAGGATTAGAGCAGTTGTATGGGGTTTGTGGAAGAAGTTCAGCTTTGCCTTCATGGAGAAAAGTTCTGGAATAAAGTAACACACCAAACTGGAGGAATAGTGAAGGGTAGAAAAATAAAAGTCAGCGTGAATTCAATAAATGTGGCCCTTAAATAAAAACATAATCAGAGAAAGAAAGGTATTATTCATATAGCAACAAGGAAGCTGCTATTGCTGACTACAGGTGAAACTCGAAAAATTAGAATATCTTGCAAAAGTTCATTTATTTCAGTAATGCAACTTAAAAGGTGAAACCAATATATGAGATAGACTCATTACATGCAAAGCAAGATAGTTCAAGCCGCGATTTGTCATAATTGTGATGATTATGGCTTTGTCAGGGATGCGGGTGTGACCAGAGATGTGTGTACTGACACAGGGAAACGCAGGCTTCAGATATGGTATAAATAAGACAATTTATTAAGACTAACAATACAAATATAAATGCAGTGCACCAAACCCCAAGCTAACACAAATACATACAACAAGGTGAAACAAACCCAAACCTAAACTGATATAGATACACAGGTACATACACATATAGAGCACAACTTAGTCAGGCAGGCCGGGTCGATAACTATCGGGCAGGTAGGTACAGGAGGAGCAGGCAGAGAGAATGGTCAGGGTCACAAGCCAGGGATCAAACAGGAGAAGTCAGCAGAGGTCAGGATCAGGCAGGGTCGGCAACAAGTCAGGCAGAAACAGGAACAGGAATGCAGGTTGCAAGGTACAGGGGCCCATGGAAAAAACACACACCAAGGCTCAGACTGCAGGTCTGGCCATCCCTTAAATACACCTGCAATCAGCCCCAGGTGATGGCTAATTGCCGAAGTGAACCTCTGGTTGTTGAGAGCACCCGCTGGCCAGCCCTGATACTGCAGCCCACAAGGCAGGTGAGTCCCACCACTATTGGCAAGTCCATTCCTGACAGGCTTACAGCTCATGAAAACCCCAAATCCACGATCTCATAAAATTAGAGTATTGTGAAAAGGTGCAATATTCTAGGCTCAAAGTGTCCCACTCTAGTCAGCTAATTAAGCCATAACACCTGCAAAGGGTTCCTGAGCCTTTAAATGGTCTCTCAGTCTGGTTCAGTAGGAATCACAATCATGGCAAAGACTGTTGACCTGACAGTTGTGCAGAAAACCATCATTGACACCCTCCATAAGGAGGAAAAGCCTCAAAAGGTAATTGCAAAAAGAAGTTGGATGTTCCCAAAGTGCTGCATCAAAGCACATTAATAGAAAGTTATGTGGAAGGGAAAAGTGTGGAAGAAAAAAGCAGCAGGGATGACCACAGCCTGGAGAGGATTGTTAGAAAAAGGCCATTCAAAAGTGTTAGGGACTTTCACAAGGAGTGGACTGAGGCTGGAGTCAGTGCATCAAGAGCCACCACACACAGACGGATCCTGGACATTGGCTTCAAATGTCATATTCCTCTTGTCAAGCCGCTCCTGAACAACAAACAACGTTAGAAGCGTCTTACCTGGACTAAAGAAAAACAGACCTGGTCTGTTGCTCAGTGTTCCAAAGTCCTCTTTGCTGATGACAGCAACTTTTGCATCTCATTTGGAAACCGAGGACCCAGAGCATGGAGAAAGAATGGAGAGGCACACACTGCAAGATGCTTGAAGTCCAGTGTGAAGTTTCCACAGTCTGTGTTGATTTGGGGAGCCATGTCATCTGCTGGTGTTGGTCCACTGTGCTTCATTAAGTCCAGGGTCAACGCAGCCATCTACCAGGAGATTTTGGAGAACTTCATGCTTCCTTCTGCAGACAAGCTTTATGGGGATGCTGACTTAATTTTCCAGCAGGACATGGTACCTGCCCACACTGCTAAAAGCACCAAAACCTGGTTCAATGACCGTGGGATTACTGTGCTTGATTGGCCAGCAAACTTGACTGACCTGAACCCCATAGAGAATCTATGGGGCATTGCCAAGAGAAAGATGAGAGACATGAGACTGAACAATGCAGAAGAGCTGAAGGCTGCTATTGAAGCATCCTGGTCTTCCATAACACCTCAGCAGTGCTACAGGCTGATAGCTTCCATGGCACGCCGCATTGAGGCAGTAATTGCTGCAAAAGGAGCCCAAACCAAGTACTGAGTACATATGCATGCTTATACTTTTCAGAGGTCCGATACTGTTATTTTTTTTTTTTTTAATTTAAATATTTATTGATTTTTCACAGTAATAACAAAAATATTTTCATCTCATTCATAATAAAAATACAATTATTTCTTATTACTTTATTTTTCCCCTTCTTAAAACAATACCCCCTACCCCCCCCCCCCCCCCCCGGAAACCCTCCCCACTCTGCATTTTTCACTATCTTTTATCCAAAGCAAGCATATCTTACCCATCTATCCATTCTATGATTTTCTACATTTCACTTCCTCACATTTGCTACAAAGTTTTCCCATTTTTCCCATTTCACAGAATATACCTCTAACTTGTCTTCCTGTATATAATATAGCTTCTCCATCTTACTAATCCCATTTACTCTTTCTATCCAATCCTCCTCTTTCGGTATTTCTACTTTCTTCCAATACTTGGGGATCAGGCTTTTTGCCGCGTTCATATAGTACCCTAAACCTAATTTCTTATATTTGCTAACTGATAGCTCTGAGCTATGTAACAGACACATCCCTGGATCTAACCCGATGTTCACTTCAGTAATGGTCTCTATTAAATGTACTATTGTTTTCCAGAATATTTGAATTTTTGGACATTCCCACCAAATGTGATACACTGTCCCCACTTCCCCTCATTCTTGCCAACACCACTGTGATTTCTCCCCACTTATCTTGCATTCTACACTTGGAACAATGTGCCATCTTATCAAACATTTATAATTTATTTCTACATCCCTCAAACTTACATTTTCGTGAACTAATCTGTTTTTTTTTTTTGTTTTTCTTCATCTAATACCACCCCCCATATCACTTTCCCATTTTACTATGTGCATTGGTTTAGTATTTATGTCTAATTCCATAAGAATTCTATATATTTTAGCTGTTCCGTGTTTCCCATCCCCCCGTGTATCCAACAACCTTTCAAACAAATTCCAATCCTTTTTCATTCTCAAAGTTTTTGGGAGATTTCCCCAAAAACAATTTAATTGGTGATAACGCCACTCATCTAACCTGGTGAAGATCTTTCCCTTTTCCTTTTCCATATCTTTAAAGGGCTTCAGTTCCCCTCCCCCATTATATCTCTTAATTGTACATCTTCCTTTTTAAACCATTTACCTGTTATCTCCTCTCTACCTGGGGGAAAAAAATCTGTGTTTCTTAGTGGCATTAATATAGAGTTAAATTCCCATTTCATATATTTTGTGTATTTTATCCCATTCCCTTAAAACATTTACAGTGTACAAACTTATATCCTCCTTCAAACCTCTAAATTGTGCCGGTAACCATATAACTGTTCCAATTACATCCACTAAATGCATTTTCTATTTTTACCCAACTTTTCCCCTCTAAATTGAACGTCCAGTCAAAAATTCTCCCTAGTATTACTGCTTTGTAATATCTCTTAATATCTGGAACTCCCAGGCCTCCCTTCCCTTTATCTCTACTTAGTATTTCACAGGATACCCTCGGTTTTTTATTCCTCCAAATATATCTTGTTATCATTCTTTTTATTACTTTAAAGAAGGCTTCTCCTGGGAGTTTAATTGGTATCATTTGAAATCTGTATAAAATTTTCGGTACTGTTATCATTTTTACCAGGTTTATACGTCCTATCCATGATGGAATTCCTTTTTCTAAAGTTTTTATTTCCCCCTTCACTTCATTTACTAATGAAATATAGTTTAGTTTGTATAGGTTCTTATACGCCACAGTAAGTCTTACTCCCAAATATTTTATATCTCTTTCTTTCCAAATGAAGGGAAATTCTTTTTGTATTTTCTTTTTTCTCTTTTTGGGATATTTATATTTAAGATCTCAGTTTTTGTTGGGTTAATTTTTAAATTTGATAGTTCCCCATATTCCTTCAACGATTTCATTAGGTTTGGTAGTGTTATCCTGGGATTCCCCACATAAAACAATAAATCATCCGCAAAGGCCGCCACTTTGTGCTCTATATCTCCTATCTGAATTCCCCTTATATCCCCATTCCTCCTTATTGTTGACAATAAAGGTTCCAATGACATAACATACAATAAGGGGTACAAAGGATAGCCCTGTCTTGTTCCATTTGACATTCCAATGGGCTCTGTTTTTTCCCCATTTACTATTACTACTGCAGAAGGCTTCCTATGCAACTTTTTTATCCATTCCCTCATTCTAACTCCAATTCCCAGAGCCTCCAAGGTATCCATCATGAAGCCCCAATCTACTCTATCAAAGGCTTTTTCGGAGTCGATTGACATAACCACCGCCGGCATCTCCTCTTTTCTACTTTTCTGAATAAGCATCAGGGATCTCAACCCATTGATCCTACCCTCCCTTTCTGGGACAAAGCCCACCTGATCTCCATGTATCCATTTAGGCATAAACTCCTTCAACCTGTTTGCCAAGACCTTTGCATATAACTTGGTGTCTAAGTTCAACAGTGAGATTGGCCTATAGTTAGAACACTGTGAAGAGTCTTTTCCTTCCTTCTGTAATAATACCACATGAGCCTGTAACGATTCTCTCCTCATATTGATCTCTCCCCCAGGGCATTCATATATTTTTCTAATTTGGGGGTCAGTTGTTCACTAAACTTTTTATAATACCTCGCCGTGAAACCATCCGGTCCTGGGCTTTTCCCCGTCTCTGTGCTTTTTAGGGCTATTTTTATTTCTTCTTGTGTAATTTCTGCTTCAAGGGAGTTTAATTGATCTTCTCTTAATTTCGGTAGACCCGCATTTTTTAAATATATCTTTCTTTTTTTTCTATTTTCCATTTTCCTATAATTTACTGCATCATAGGGATTGATATTATACAGCTTTCTATAATAATCCATGAATACCTTTGCAATCTCCTTATTTGAATGAACCAGTTCTCCCTTAGGGTTTTTTATTTTATCGATATAATTCCTATTTTTCTTTTTTCTTAAGGCTCTCATTAGAAATTTTCCTGGCCTATCTCCCCATCTATATCTCTCACCTAGCACTTTGTTATAGACTCTCCTTCTCTCATCCTCCATCAAGGTCTCTAACTCCCCTTTTTTTTTATTATCTTCTGCTTTATTTCTTTTGCTATACTATTTTTATGTGTCTCTTCCAAATCAGATATATCCTTTAGGAGCCTACTGATTTTCTCTCTCCTTTCTCTTTTCTTTCTTGCCCCAACTGAAATTAGGATACCTCTTATGTATGCCTTATGAGACTCCCATACTGTAGCTATTGATACATCCTCTGTCTCATTCTCTCTAAAAAATCTCTCAATTTCTTTCCCAATCCTTTGGGTGGTATCTTTATCAAGGAGAAGTGCTTCATTCAACCTCCATCCCACCCCCTCAGTTTTCCTCCTTCCCCATCCCATTCTCAACATGACAGGGGCGTGGTCTGAAAAAGTCATTGCTCCTATATCTACTTTGACCATTGATTCTAAAAATCGATGTTCTATCAATATATAGTCCAACCTTGAGTACGTCTCATGTGCATTTGAGAAAAATATATAGTCTCTGTCCTTCATATGCATAATTCTCCATGCGTCCACCAATTGAAACTCATGGATCATCTTCTTTAATAATCTCAGAGATCTATTTCCTTCACGCTGCACAGAAGAGGTTGTATCATTTTGTGGGTCCATACAGAAATTAAAATCCCCGGCTAATATCAAACAGCCCTTTTTAAAATCCATCAGTCTTTTTAACACACCTTTCAAGTACATCTCCGGTTTCTTATTTGTATTTCAATGGTTTTTATTAATTTTAAACAGTATAAAACAGAGGCAACAAAACACGCCCACGCAGGGGCGATCAATTGCACCGATAGAAAATGTATAATAGAGCAGACAACGCTCTAATTCCAATAAGGCAAAACGCATGCCCGCGCAGGGGCTATCAATGGCACATAGGTTACAATAACATCAGTGAAACTCAGATTATTACAACTAAAGACAGCTGTCCACTGTCACATCAAAACAAACAGAAAAGGAAAGAAGAAAAGCAGAGAAGAAAGAAAGAGAAAAAACAAAAACAAAAACACACACCAAAGAGCAAGGGTCCATGAGCGCCAATACAAAACTCCATCACCTCCCTACACTGGCCGGGGGGAGCGTGGGAAAGGCATATTGCAACCACGGTTCCCATATTTTCAAAAATTTATGTTGAGAGTCATTGCATATACTCGACATCTGTTCATTGAGCATCATAGTAGTCATACGATCCCGCACCCCCTGAAAAAGTACAAACGGACTCCTCCAGGCCTGGGCAATTGTCCTAGTGGCCGATAAAAACAAATAGGAAGCCAATCGCTGCTGACGAGCCAAGAGGCCCGGTATGGGGCAATGAAGCAAAGCATACCGAGCATCCCGGCGTATGGAGAGATGAAACAAAGTGAAAAGGAGGCCAAACACACGAGACCAAAAACGAACCAACCTCGGGCATGACCACCAGATATGCAGTACATCTCCACGATGGCCACAGCCCCGAAAACATCGATCACCACAGGCAGGGTTAGCCTGGGCCAAACGAGCCGGCACCCAATACCAACGAAACAATACCTTATAGGCTGCTTCCA